CATTAATTAATTATTCCATATTATTATGAAACCCTCTCTTAATGAAGTAATTTTTTGATAAAAAAAAAGTCATTAAAAATTAACAGTTAAGCAATATTAGAGAAATTAATGTGCTATAATTTGGAGTTATCCTATGAATAATTAAAATTTTATATAGAAAAATAGATTATTGTATTTGTTTTCAAATTCAATAAACTTTCATTATTTTAAACCGAACCAAAGAAATCATAAAATTTATTATAATTATACAGATTGAAATTAACAAATACGATATATGCTTTTCATTATCTGTGGCCTGTATTGAATTTTCAGAACCCAAGAAAAGTGATTCACCTGATCAGAGAAAATTATGAAAACTAATAATAAAAAATAAAAAATTATGAATATCATACATAGGGGAAGGGAAAATTTAAATGTTTTTAAAAAGATCGGAACATCGTGCCACATAAAAAATTAAAAAATGATCAATTTCAGTCCGATCATTTTGAATTTAAATGAAGAGCTCTTCAATTTCCGAGTGTTTTCAATTTCTCTCGCAGCCATATTGATAATGCGAATTATACGCTCTGGCCAATTTCATTAAATTTGGTGCAAATATTATTTAAACGTATTAAAAGTTGGGCCGTGTGTGCGGTGAATATTTTATTGGCGCGCATGAACAGCTGAACACTCGCTAATTCCGACACAGTCGGCCTCTCTCTATCATGACGGATCCCCCGAGAGAGACGGCCAGAGAATTTTGATGTGTGAATTCATTAGCGAGCGCAAATGTGAGTTAGTCGTTAAAACCGGCGCGCGAATTATTATCGCGTCGCACACTCGCGGTGCCGCAACTTTTTATTCGCTGCCGCGCCCCCGTTAATGAATTATGAGTTGTAAAATGGCGAGGTAGGTGCGTTCTCAAATAATTTTGCGACTCTCTCGCAATAAAATGCTGCCTCGCCAAATCTGCAGTGCAGTTTTTAACGCGCAGAGCCTCATATTGGTGCCATATATTATGATATAATTAATCTCTTGCATGCTTTTATTTTCCAACAATTATTTTACTGTGCACTTTATGATGCAGTCGTTTGCGTATGTGTGGCTTTTTAACTCAATCTGATCACTGTATCATGGTCGTTACAGTCAATAAGTATTTAAAAAAGTTTGCTTTGAGATCATCATGAATGTAATAAACAAAGCAAAAAAATTAACAAGAGATGGATTTTTTTAACGAAACAAATTAAATAAAATAAATCATTATTTCAAAGTAAATATCTTTTTATTGAATATTAATATATAACATATTTTATATATTTTTAATTTAGTTGGTATATTAAAATTAATTAATAATATTTTATATCTATTTCTAATTATTATCAAATATTAAAAAAAAATATATATATTAACTCCCGTAATAATTTTAGTCTTCTGAAAATCTCAAGAAAATTTCATGTTCACTAAATTGAGCTTTATAAATTTTACTTTGAATTATGTAGAACACATGCATTTATTTTAATTTCAAATTGATTTTCATGATGGCATAAGAATCAAGGTTTAATTTGCATTCACAGGAACAAGGAAGATATTTAGTCAAGTTTAGTAGCATATTTAGAGTGGATAGGTGGTCCTAATGAGAAGAAAGTTCTGAGGACTGCAAAATAATTTGTATATGGTTAGGCGTTAGGCCAGTCTTGTTGGTCATTGCCCTTTAATGATGGTGCAGAAGGCACTACGGAATTTATATTTATTTTATGGATAAATGAAAAATTAGTATCTCGTTGTCCATATTATTTTTTTAATATTTGATTTTTTTATAAATATATTTAATTTTTGTGTATTTACTTGATGTAAGATGTTGTGTATTTCATATTGTATCTGAATGGAGAATAAATAAATAAATAAAGAATTTTCTATGTGAAATAATTGAATTAGCATATTACACTTCACATTAAATACAAGCTTTTTACTGCTAAATGTGTGTAATTAGAGAACTGCGCCCTTATCAAAGCGGACGAGGATTTGCTCACTGATGTTCGCTCTCAAGAAGTGTCATCAGCGTTGGAATTGCTTTTGCATGTTTTGTTTTTGTTTGTTCACGTCAGCAAAGAGAAACTGGAACTTTGCATTTGCACAATAATCGTCAACATGACACCGCTACTGGCAAAATAACAAGTCAGAGTGTCTTTTTTTTTTTTTTAGAGCGGCAAATAAAATAAATATTCAAAAGGATTATTTTATTTTAACAAAAATTTTCCAAATGTATTTTTTTTTTTCAAAACAATCTGCAGAATTTAATTACAAAACGAAAAAGCCAAATATTTTTACCACATGCATGAGCTGCAAGGGGCGAGTACTCGGCGCAGTGAATTCTCAATTGAGGTGTTTTCTCTTTTTGCTCGAGAGCAAAGCACAAACGGCCTGCGCTTAATTAAAATATTTGGTGCACGCTTTGATGTTGTTTGCTTGTTGTATTACACAGAGGTTGAATTTCATATAAAATCCAAGGCAACAACGATACGCGTGTGGCTTGAAAGCAACAGTCTGCCGCGAACATTATCCGCCTGCTTTTACCAAAGAAATCTCGCTAATTAAAATTGCTGGCGCGTTTAATTAGACTTTGAAGTGATGCAAAAATTTATATTTCGGATTTCACGCCATTGAGCATTTCCATGTTGTCGGAAGATACCTTGTCGTGCTCAACAAATTAATTCCCTAGCCGTAAATCCAAAAGGTCAGAGTGATTTGCGGATCCGACCAATTAGTGCAAAGTTTGGCCCAAAACACCAAACTTCATCATTTCAAATGTATAACCGTACGAGCTGCATTAACGCGAGGCTGCGGAATTTGCGGTGTTTCCTGCATCGTTTGTTGGCGGTCGACAAATACAACGGATTTATCACGCAGCTATGTGGCGCAGGCCATTTTTTTTTTTTTAAATATTCCATTTTGCAACAAAGTGAAAATTAATTTCGTTTATCAATTTTCCTACAATTTACATAACATTGGCAATTATTAAATAACAGTTACAAGTTAAAATTTAAGTTTAGTGACAAAATTGACACTCGAGGAGACGATCAAGCAAGTGAAGAAAGCGGGATATGTCTTTATTTTTTTCTTTGTTGCAAAAACAGAACAAAACGATTCAAGATTTGTTTATTTTGTTTTAAGCATTTTGTACAATATAAATAGTAATAACCACTTTTTAAACTCTTTCAGTGTTGATCGCGTGATCGCGGTCTGCAACCTTCATTAATAAGAACAGAAAAATACAAAACATTTGCAAAAATTGAAAAATACTATGGGTTTTATTTTTAAGATTTCAATATATTTTGATAGAAAGATAAGAAAGGTGTTTTTTTTTTCTTGATATTTTCAAGTTTTTATTGCTCCTGAAATAGGGGACCGTGACCAAAACTAGTACATCAAATGTGTTTTTCATAAAAAAATATCTTTTCAACGAGGACAAAGCTCATTTTCTACGCTTTCAAAAAGCTTTTTTAAGTTTCTATTTGTATATCAATTGAGTTATAAAACTAGGCGAAACTGAAACGTAAAAATTATTATAGCTCGTCTTTGTAATAATGATTTAGGTATACGACAAAAAAACATTAATTTCTTATATAGATTTTAGTACACCAACTCATATCGCGTAATGCCACAAAATATATCGATAAAGAAAATTTTATGGAATAAATTAATTGTTAAAAAATTCTTACTATCAGTTTTGTATTACTTAAAATAAATAAATAAATATGGATCCTATGAAAAGCCCAATCTCTTCACTTCCATGACCATCTTCTTGAATATCAACTTCTTCAAACAGATTTTATAATAAGTGATTTTTTGTACTGTGTACACAACTATTTGATTTGAATAGTTGTAAATGTGCAAGCATTTGAATAATTTGAATATTGGAGCATTATCATAATTTTAATACTTTGAGATAAGGAGGTGGAGGGGGGAAATACGTGGAAAAATTATTTTTATATGTTACGTACGTTAATAAAAAACAGTAGACAAGGCATAATTACGCTCGTGAATATCTGGTTTAGCAGATTTAAACAGAAAATCTAATGAAAAAAGGTTAAATTAGAATTAGAGCATCAAAACAATCTTGAAGTGAGCAGAGTAATGTGAATGTATCTGAAGACTAACGACCAGGGGCACGGGTGAAAAATTTGCCACGCATTGGGCTCATTCGTTTCGCGAGAGGGCCATAAATTGCAGGGCGCTGTTTGTATTGATTCCTTGTTAATCTCACGACTCATTGGCCAGGCGCAATGAGGGCAATTTGTAGCCATCTTGCAGCCGCAGGAGCGCCGCAAAAATTAATCTCGCGCCGTCATACAAGCATCTTCATCCTCGCGCCGGCTAATTTGGCCGCAATAATAATTTTTCGCGCACGTCCTGCGGATATAACAAAAAAAAAAGTACGAACAGGTAAAAAAAGGTACGTGCTGAATAAAACAATAAATATTCATATTCGCACCGCATGAATTGTGATGCGCGTTTTTAATGCGTTGAAGGCGCCCGCCGGAATAATTTATTATGTAGATTTCACATGCGTGCGAGTGAGTGGCGATCGATATGGGCACAGCGAACGTCATTTGATATTTTGTCAGCGCAAATAAACGTGGATGTAATTCTCGTCGGGTTACGCGGCAGGAGAGTAAATGCGGCTTATATACCTTTGTGCCGGTTGCGGTTTAATATGTTATGCTTTAGCTCGCTCTCGCGATATGAAATAACATGTTCATTATCTATAATAATAATAATAACGCCGGCTGCCGAAAATCAATTTGGAGCCCTAAATAAATAAAAGCCTCGACCGTAATGTGTTTATTTCATAATAATAAGTTAATTCCATTAGCGATCTGTGTGGACGCGTCAAAGGATTAAACTCGCATTTTCATCAGAGTGGGGATTTTAATTAAAGGCGTGTTGGAGTGAGAAGTGCAGAGTGCAAAATCTTCGCGCCTCTCGTGGACGTAATTTTGACTTGTTATCTCGGTCAGATAAGAATCGACAAGTCACACTCAACGTTAAGAAAATTTGTCTACAGCAAAACATTTGTCGGCGCGTAAGTGAGGATGCGATTTAGCGTTGGCGGATCTGCCAAAATGGCTCCAAGGGAAGTTGTCTTTGCGATTTTGTTCGCAATTTTGGTCTCATCTTGCATGTAAGTCAGCCTTTTATACCTCATAAAACATGTAAATTTATTGAAGCTATTTTACTTTAAAATCTTTTTCTGCAGAGAGTTTTCATAATAAAATATTCTTATTATTTATTCCTCACATATCAAATTAAATCAGGGAAAGGGAAAATAAAAAGTGTTAAAAAAATGCAGCACCTCTGGTGAGCAAGTCGTGTTAAGTGATGATAACATTAAAACGGCACTTCAAAGATGTACACGAGCTACTTTCAGATTGTAATGTTATCAAAATGTTTTTTTAATTAATGACAAGCATATTTACAAAACTTTTAATTATCTTTTTGTATCAAAAGTAAATATAAATATAAAAACATTTGAGGGTGTTGCAGAACAAAAATGATGTGAAATACAAATTAAAAAAAATGGATGTTAAAACAAAATTGAACAAATTGTTATGAACTAATTGAAAATAATAAAGAGCACTGTTAATTAAATGTCCGTGTAAGCACTAAAAGCTTCTAATTTGAAGCAATTAGTCTGAAAAGCACCAGCCGATAATTTCTTCGGAAATTGGCTGGACTTGTTTCCAACAATTTGTGTGTAAACAATGTGATGTAACAATTTGGACAAATAAACAACAATAAATAAATATCTTTCAATAAATAAAAAAAATTTAATTCAATTATTAATCGTTCTTTAGGGTGGAGGGTCAGGCTGCAAGGGCCAAGGTCATCGTAGACACAGACGTCGGGATTGACGACGCGTTCGCCCTCGGAATGCTTCTGGCCGCAGACCAGCGGCAGGAAATCGAGATCGTCGCCATTACGACCGTCCTCGGCAACACGGGCGTCAGAAATGTGTCGAGGAATGTGCTCAAAATTTTGCAAACCGCAAACAGACTGGACGTACGTGAGCAATATTATAATCAAATTTACACCTACATAATTTTTTTTCTGCATTTTTCTTTTTCCATGGAATTTTTTTTTCTTCTACCAAAGATCCCGGTTTATGAGGGAGCAGCTTTTTCGCTTGAGCTGACCAACAATAACGACAGTTATTTTGGCTACGACGGGTTCGGGGACATCGAGTACCCCAACCCGCCTGGTGATGAGTTTCTGCAGCCGGTGCCGGCAGTGCTGGGGCTTCTCGAGCTGACGAAAACGCACCTCGGTAAGCGGCCGAAAGTATTGTGTAAACGGATTAATGTCCGCACTGCTTCTCTAATGCTTATTTAATGGACTGCTCCCCTAACGAGAGAAACGCGGAGGATTTATTTGTCCTTATAATGTTATTGGACCCGGTGAAAGTCGATTCTCAAAATTGGAGCCGAAAATAAAATCACATTTTGACGAAGAGGAAAAAAATAAGCCTTTGCAGAGACATGCTTTCATTTGCAATTTTCGTTCTTGGTAAAGGAGAAATAAACCTGCTGCTGCTGGGTCCTCTTACAAACTACGCCCTCGCAATTCGCACCGTGCCCGAATATGCTGCTCGGCTCGCCAGTGTGTGGGTGCTCGGCGGCTCGATGATAGGTGAATTTTTAACCAAAGTTATTAAAATTAAATATTACATTCTGTGCAATAAATAAAATTTAGCATATATTTAAACAAAATTAAATTAAATCATTAAGTGTAAAATATATTATTTTGTACTTTGTTAATGATTTTATTTAATTTTGTTTACATGTAAGCTAAATTTTATTTAAAATAATAATTAAAATTAAAAAAAACTATGTAATTTTTTTTCTCAAATATAATTATTAAATTTTCATTTGCTTCAATATATTTATTTTATTTATTTATTATACAACTTTTTAATAAATGTATAGAATATACATCGTAATTTTCTTCAATGAAATAATGTAAGCAAATAATTTTTATATAAATATTTAATATAAATATAAAATCATAAAATTCATAATGTAGACTGTTGTGTTACTCTATGCAAATGAGGATCGACACGGGAAAATTTGAAGTTTTTTTTTCTGGCAAGCATAAATAATACATGACCCATCTCTGTTCTTACCCCATCAATCATTTGGCCACAATTTCCAGGAAAGGGCAACATGCAACCAGGGGTGGAATTCAACTTTTGGGTGGACCCGTTGGCCGCATTCATCACGTTCAGTCCGCCGGTCCACCCACCCAACCTGGTGCAACTGGTGCCCCTGGAGATGACCATGGAGGCGGCGACGACCATCGTATGGTGACGAGAGAGATGCACCCGGCTGATTAATCAGAGCTAATTGTGATTGATAGGACTGGCGCATCAACGTGCTCGGAGCTCTGCCCGGAAAAGTCATGGCCCTGCTCAACGCGGCCGAGGAACAGTTTTGGCCACGTTCGGACATGTGGGTTTGTTCTGACCTCGTCCTGGCTGCAGCTTTTCTCCAGAGATCCACTCTCGTTTTGAAGGTTGCAGTAACGATACGATTATTAAATTCTAATTCTATATTCCTTATTTGTTTATAATAATAACTTGAATCATTTTTATTAAAACTGAAGTCATATTTAATAAGATTACACTGTATAATTAAATAATACATGATTTTTTTTCCAATTTTAGCTTCAAATTGCCAGAATAAATATGTAATAATTCGAGTGGAAATTTAATAGCAATCGCTAAATTATTTTATATTTTGGTAGACAAAAATCCAGATATCCATTTATAATTAAATTAATGCTGATCATAAAATAATGATTGTTAGAGTGGACGGGATTTTTTTTTACTTTAATTGCAGCGCGCGTCGAGTAAATGGCATTTGAAGTTGAATTGAGCAAACTCCCCTTTATGCATTTTAATACGCTCGGCGTGAGAAAATTGCAAACGGATATTAATTTTCGCAGACGCGCCCCAGTTTCATCGGCGTGGAAGTGCACGGACTGCATTTGGCAGGAGCGACCTTCGTTGATTACAACGAGCCCGGCAACGAGCCCAACGTCGAGGCCATCCAAGTTGTGGACGCCGAGGCCTTCAAGACTGTTGTTCTCGACTACTTCGGCGGGCTCAACTTTTGCAATAACTTTGCAACGGATGGAATATTTTGCCACGCAAAATAAAAATTTATATAATATAACAGCAATATTTTAGTTTCATTTATAAATTTAGAATAAACAAACTGAATAAAACTATTTTAACTGGTTGGCTTATTAATTAGCAAAGAAAATTTCTCTGCACTGCAGCAATAAAGGTTTCAAAGGTTTATTACCTTTAAAAATGTCAAATTAATAATTTAATTTTCCCAGATAGTTATTTCTTTAGTAAATTACTTATTTTTATTTAATTTCGGCCTTTTTTTGCTAAAAAGTACTACTTTTTATTAACTAAAAACTGCATTGATTGTACTCACCTCTTTGAGGTCCCACGTGCGATAGGTGCGCCACTCGTTGTCCGGCAGACCCGGCCGTCTGTACTCGAGGGTGTATTCTTCGGCGTACTCGAGACCAATGCCCTTGCCGTACCGACCCTGGGTCTGGACACCACCGACAGTGTGGACCACGCCTAGGTCGATCTGCAGGTACTCGCGGACGCCCTCTTTGATCTGCTGCTTTGGACACCAACCACCTCCGTTGCTGTCGCTACGCAATCTGGAAAAAAATTATATTTATTTCTTATTTCTTAAGATTCTTCTTAAAAAATTCTTCAACTTTACAAATCTTATTTTTAAACACAAATTAAAAATTATTTGTAAAATGTGCGATCTTTTATTTAAAAATTTATGAGAAAATCTTAATTACAAAATGTAATTTTCCCCATATTTTGAAATTCCAGTGTGAGATTTGTCGCCTGGTCCGAGTGTCACCATTTATTTTTTTAGGCTGTCGCCAGCAATCGCGTTGACAAAAGCGGGCCTAATTTATGAAAGTGCCAGTCTGTTTTTGCGCGCGACATTTAATTTATATTAGCCATCTTACACGCCCTAGCTCGCTTGCCTGATGTTCGCAGCTGGCGCAAAGTTCAAATAGAATTTTCAGTCGGACGCCAACAATGGGACGAGCGGATCTTGAGAGGCGCTCTTGATGAGACCTCGCTTGCACTCGAGTTAATTGGCTAATTTGCAAGGCCTCGAGTGACAGTTTACGAATCGAAAGTGGGTCGACGACCAGCGGCCCCTTCGGTTACACCAAAATGTTTTTTGCATTCAACGTTTGGTCGCTTCTGCTTTTTGCTCGCAACGTCTGCCGAGCTGTTGATCCTTGTTTTAAATAGATGCAGATGGCCCTCAAGTGAACGTTGCGGATTTTGCTCGCAGATTTTTTCCTACTATGCAGAGACGACTTTACTTTTTCATCAAAATAGAGAGGGCTAAAAGATCATTGGATTGAAGAATCTTTCTAAGAGACCGTTGTTGCCCAAGTGTGGTTTTTATTAAAATTCTTTTCGAAATTTTTCATTGAAATATTGTTTTTTTTTTTACAGGTTGCTGAAATTTAAAAACAAAAATAGATAGAATCAAGCAAGGAAAAAAATATGATGGATAGATTGACAGTCGCTTTGTATTTTTATGGTTTTTGAATTGAAATTAGGGTGGAGCGTTTTAGTTGTTTATTTTCCAAAGAAACAACAATATTCTTATTTTTAATAAATGAATAATGTGACTCTAGAAACCACACAGGCAAAGCCGAATTTGAATTCAAACACCATGGAACAAGCATGGATCGTGAAATTGTTCAAAAGAATTTCCAATAAAAAATATAATTACAAATTTTCTGTATGTGTCCTCTTTTTTATGACACTTATGGTAAAATTTCTTCCTTCATAATCCTACTGTTTGTTCAGTAGGACGTTTTTATCAAGAAATTTTGGCAAATGAAAAAGGGTAAGAGCTTCAAATTAATCATCTTTTAACAGCGAGAAAAGAATGTCAGAAATTTAACCTTGGCGGTTATTTCTGTTGTGCTGTTTTCTCTTGAGAAATATTTCGCTCACCATTCTTTCTTTCGCGCTCTCTCTTCATTTTATGCAAATTATCATCATCCATCAAAGAAAAAAATAATTTACTCCAGAGCGATGGCGAGATATTAAACTTTCCCTCGTTTTATATTTTTCTCCTTTTCATTCCTCACAGTCTCGGTGCTGAGGTGCATTCAGCGCAGTGCCCCAATTTGATTACGATGCAGACCTCAAAACAAAGCCATCATACCGTTCTCTCAACAAAAGGAATAGATGCGCTGCCTTTATTGTTCTCCTAATGAAATTGGATATTGTATCGCAAAAGACAATTCGCTTCCATTTCTTGGCAGAACCGAGAAAGATTCTTACAATTTCTCAAGTTAATTAATGACCTAATTTGATTGGGCTCGGTATCATTGACTTATTGATTCATTTTGAGTCTTATTATTAGTGAGATTTATTCTTTCCAGTAACTGATTTTACTGAAAGTTTGTAACCCTATCTTATTAAAAGTACAAGTACTTGAAATATTTATTTTGCAGGCATTTGTCCTAAAATCTTAAAAATAAATCATAAAATAACATTTTTATTTTATTTAAATTATATATCGATGGAAAAATTAACGTCTAAAGGGAATAATTATTTTGATCACTTGTACAAATATATCAGTGTCTTGTGCGTAACTCCGCTCACGGATTTTCAATTATCATATATTGAAATTATACAAATCCCCGCAGGGAGAATGTTAATTCATAATTGTACGTGATATATGTTCTTTAAAATTTTATATTTGACCGAGAGATAAAGTTATTAGCAATGGTGCAATTACAACGAAACGTTTCAACGCAAGTTGTACTGCACATCTCACTCGGTGAAATGCATAAATTAATTTCCGCACGTTTAACTGCTGTATGCGCCGCGCATAAGCACAGGAGGAGACGCCATTAAACGCGCGGCGCGTCAGAGCTTTAATATCTCGGCCGAGGATTTATATTTGCACGACGCGGCATTTATGGCTCGTCGGCTGCTGGTGTGCATTTATATGTCGCTGAAAGGTAGGTGCGCCGCCGAGCACTCACTCACTTAATATTGAAAATCGCATGAATTTACTGCCGGCTGACATTTTAATAAGTTTTATCCCTGGGCAATAAAAGAGCTGAGAAATTGCGAGGTCACCCCTGAGAAGTGCGCGGCGCAGTATAACTCAATCTGCTGCCGGCAAAAACTTTTCGCTCGTGCTAAATTATTGCACATTTATTGGCTGCCGACTTGATCAGCTAACTCTGTGAAGGAGCAAATAAAAGAGACCGAACTTCATTTAAGAAAGTCGAGGAGAGCCATTAACAATTTTGCTAACGACCTCCTCCTCCTCCAACTCACTTACGTCGGGTGCTGAAATCATTTCCTATCAAAAAAGTCAACCGCGAGCACTTTCTTAATGAAAAACCAATACGTCGTCAGGTGACTGTGAGGAGGTTTTCATTAAGTTTTAGCTGCCATTTCAATGATTGATCACAAGCTCGAAATTTGATTTTAATAAATTCATTTCCCTTCTTAATTTTAATTCACGGAAAATTATATGTAATTGAGGAAAATTGTTTCTTGTGAAAATAACTCTTACATTTAACAAGAATCACTGCTCAACCGTTTCGAAAATTGCTTTATAAGCTGACAAAGCTCCACTTTCATACAATGCAATCAATCTTCTGTTGTTGTTGTGCAATTTTTTTCGTCAGACCAAGCACGTATTGAACACTGAATAGCTATCGGCGGAAAACGTGATTGTGTATTGGATGCAAATGAGCCGATTGAGGGGAAAACAAAAAAATTGGACACTTGTCAATGTGAAACGTGTGTTTTTCCAACATTTACAAACAAAATGGAAAAATTGCTGGTCGGAAAAGCCTAAACCAACGAGCCGGAAAATGAGCCAAATGAAAAAAAAGGCCGCCCTTTTGAATAGGTGTAATCAAAAAGGCCGAACGAGCGAGGTATTATATGAAAACGTTATCGCCGGTCGCAGCAAGGGCACTATCGATCCGCCACCTAAATGGAAATTGGAAACCAAATTATCTAATCCTACCCTTGCACACGGCGTTTTTCTTTCCCCATTTTTCATGGCAGAGGCTATTTTCGATTGCGAAAGAAACAGCGCGCAGCGTTTGTACATTAAAAGTGGCCTTTTGATAAATGCAATATCGAGTGAGTGGAAAAAGGGAAGAGTGAAAAGAGAGGCTCTGATCAACACAAGAGCCGATATGAAATAAAAAGCAAAGAAGGAAATGGGAAATAAAACCTCTCCATTTGTTATCGGAATTTACGGCTGAGTTGAAGAGAATAATATCAAGTTTCGATATTAAAACATTCCTAATGCGGACATAACTCATTGTCAGTGTCTTCTGCAATATTGAATTCCATTGTCAATGCATATAAAACCGGAGTTTCTCATGCGTGCCTTCGGATTAGAATCATTATTTGCTGGTGGAATTGCACCAGACTTGGACTCCCTTGCTTAATTCGATCAGGCCGCTCAACTCTCGGAGTTGGTTTGCAAATTAGCAAGCCTACCCGCCGGGCACTTGACTTAATTAAGTTAATTGCCTCGCTTGGACAACCAGCAAAACAATTTGCACCTGCTTGGATGGTAACATGTCGTTTGCAAACTCAGATGGAAATTCTCTGATAGCACTCTCGTCCAGAGAAGCCCTCAGGTGGTAGGGATTATTATTCAGATGAGAAAGCCTTGATTCGCTTGCAAAGCACCAAAAGCCACTTAATTAGCTTTTTTAATTTTATCCTGAATACTTAAGACAAGTTGAAGCAACTAAAATTATATTGCGTAGAATTTCTACCTCCTCCTACGTATTTTAGGATATGCAACTTGTAACATTTTAATGAAGCGGTGGTTGCATAAATCATAATTTCAAGAACGGCTAGTTCAACATAAAAACCTCAAATTTTATTTTATTACTAGATGATTTCTATCTGCTGCTGAATGTTGGAATCTGAAGTCAATCAGACTTCTGATTTTATAATTTCAAAGAATTATCTGAATCTTTTAACTATTTTTTAAATTAATTCGTTTTATCCCAATAATGTAACTATTAATTTCAACGAAATTGAACCAAAATATGAATATTTGAATAATGCTATAATTATCCACATCAATTTAATTATTTTTCTATTTACCTTCCATTTTGGGGTCCGACGTTGGACCAATAAGACGAGCTGGCTGTGATGGCTGCGTCTGGGATGTCACCATTCTCCATTCCCAGGGGTAGGTCACAGTCACCTGCAACAGGCAAATCAAATCACATTAATATTCTTCGCTCCTCTGTGTTTCGTTATTTGCTCCGCGCGGACAAAAAGCAGAGGCAGAACGAGAAAAGCGGGAAGGTCGATTCAGATCAACGAGGCGTTTGTGTGCTTTTTGCTGCTTATTTATTTAGGTAGCGAGCGCAAAAAACCGATTGTTACTTTCAAGATGGGAGTTATTCACACGGGAGGGAAGGAAATTAAAGGTCAAAAATCTAGAACACAGGAAAAAGCTGTGAATAAAAATTGAAGCTTCAGATATTGAATGAATATTTATGAGTAGTTAGAAAATCATCTTCAATTAACCATTTTTTTTTTCATTTGTAAAATTGCAAAGTTTTCCAGAAAGTATACCAAATTTAATATTCCCCTTCAATGCGAATATATTACTTAAATAATTAATTACTACTTTGAACAAAAATTATTTATTATTTGTGAAAATATTATTGTTCAATAGATCTTGCATATTCTTGCTGACATACACCTAAATTTAACTATTGTGGATGTGAAGAGACTTTTTTCCTTTAATAACAGTGAGGTTTCCTGATTTTATAATAAAACAAAACAAAAGGCTTATGCTGCAGCAACCATCAAGCGCCACAAAGGAAGCATTATGCCGTTTAATGCTCTCGCGTCTCGTCATGATTCGATCAGCGGCGAGACGGCGTTTTGCTGTGGAAGAGCCGATATTGTGCGTTACAAAGCGCTGGAAATTGAATTTGGTGTGTCGGCGCCGCGCGCTGCCTGCTACATTAGGATCTTATATCGCAATTCAATAAAGTGCGAAACTCGAATGGGCGGGCGGCTTTTCCACCAGCGGGTCTCTCGCTCTCTCCCGCACACACACTCGAGCAAACCGCACGCCACTTTCTCATTTGTCTCGACGCAATGGACTCTCTCGACTCGGAGCAGCCGGGCGACACCAAGGAAAATTGGTCGTCGCCCACCCCAGAGCCCGAAAAAGGAAAAATGCATATTATCGCGGCAGGCACGCGACCCTGCAGCTTTTCTCTGGAAAAGAGAGGCCTGCGAAGGGGCTGCTTTAAACTAAACAATTTCGTGACCCGCATTTCAAATGGAGTGCCGAAGGAAAACTAGGCAAATGGAAATAAATTGAGAAAGGGAAAAGTTTCCAAATTTATACTGTACGAAACTGTCCAACTACAACAACAAGAAAATAAAGTTTCACATTCTGATCGTTCCAATCAAATATAAGATCAAAGAAATCTTGGAAGTTCCTTTTCATTTTTTGATAATTTACCATTAATATCACAATGGGTTTTTACAGTTTTCAGTTAATTTCAAATTTTTTACTGCAAAATTTAGATAAAATTTTCAAATTTTAATGAAAAAGGTTGGCAAATACAAGTGAAGAAAATTAGCTTTATATTCTTAATTAAAAATCAGGAAAAATTATTCTTATTTTATTATTTATCTATTTATTGGTGTTACAAAAAATTTTATATTTAAAACTCATTTATTTTGCAATGCTCGTCTTTCTTCACTTCTGCATTTTGTTTTTAAACAATAACTTTTTAGTCCCGTGACGCTCTCCATTTTACCACTTGGCCAAGAACAATCTGCCATCAGTCCGCATTATTATTTTCAAAATTATCTGGGCATTAGTTTGTAATTAAGCGATGCAATCTCTTGCAGTGGCTGCCGCGCACACGGTGCCGGCAGCAGCACCAAATGTTTTAATTCAATAAAGCAAAAAACACACACATAATCAATCTGCAGGCCGACCCAGCAGAGCGTCACGCGAACGAATCTCTGTCTCTACATAAAATAATTCCTCGCACAAAGGAAGCCAATTCCCGTTCGAAATTAATCCCGACAAAAAAGAGGAAAGGGTTGAAAGGATTTATTTGGAACGTCTGCGCTGGGCCGCGAGAATTATTGATAAGGGCGCGAGTTGGCTGCCGCGGCCGGGAGATGTATGGCGGCGGAAATCAAAAGTATTATACCGACTGCTGCTCCAATGAGAATTGGCGGCCGGATTGTGTGCGAGATGTGCAAGATTTACTCTTAATTATACAGCCATGAATCGTGCTTGGCGAAGCTGTAAATTTCGCGCGCCGAGCGCGTTCCTAATAAATACTCATACTCTCAGGACTGCAGCAGAATATCCTGCTTGGCTATTATTTTACTGTTGTACGAGCGTATGTGAGGATGTAATGCACTTTTTTACTTCTCGTCCTAGCGACGAGCAAAAGCTGCATGAGCTGCTCCATGAAATGATGGTGCCGCATTTGAAATTCAATTATACAAAATGGCGAGAGCATACGTGTGCGGTGCTGTCTGCAGACTTATTTTTTTATTTTTGCATTTCTAGGAAGAGATTGTTTTCTATCTTGTCTCACAAGGATGTTTGTTTTGAAGCATTAAATAGTAAATAGAAAAAGGTATGGAGGAAGAGAAATTGCTTCCTCTGGCAATATTGACGAATGGGCGTATTAGATATTAAATAGTCTCAATTCATCAAAGTGAAGTGCAAGTTCCTTTATTTTCTTTCAAATGATATTTATTGATATAGTGTAGGTTTATTGCGGTGGCCGAGTCTCTTTTATACAGTGTTATAGCAGACCTCTAATTTTAAACAATATCTTCTCTTTTTCGAACTTTATTTTTTTTTTATTGGCTGAGAAGAATAACTAATAATAAAAATGTCTTTTAATTCTTTGCAAAAATGGATATTTCATATTAAAAAAAAAAATTATAATAATAATTTTTATTTTATCAGGGCTTTAATAAGAGAGATTTAAAATTTACAGACGCATTAAAAAAAAATTACAAAATTAAAAACTTGTTTGAAGAAGTAGACTTCGTTAACACTCGAGGAAATGATCATGGAAAAAGCCCGATCTCTTTAAAATTAAAAACCCTTAATTATTGTTAATTAAATTGTAATAAATATACATAATAAAAAAATATACTAATTTGAGTCAAATAAGATTTAAATTATTAATTCTGTTGCATGGTTATTAACCTCTAAATAACGAATATTATCAGAATGTTAAAATTCAGAATATAATTTGGCAGAAACATGAATGTCGGATAAATTGTTTGGAGATTGACACTCGAGGAGATGATCATGGAAATGAAGAAAATCGGACTTTTCCTCGTTGCAAAAATTGTTTTTATTCAAAAACAAAATGGCTCTACCAGTTTCGGTCACGGTCTGCGACCCTATTTCATGAGCAAGTCTTGCTCATATATGGAAAAGAATCGCAGACCGTGACCGAAACTGGTAGAGCCGTCGGATAATTTCCCTGAAGGATCAGAGATTTTACAAAAATTTCCAAATTATGCAACACTTGCTTTTATAAAATAATGAAATTTTTCCATTTAATTCTTTGAATGACTGAAAAATATTTTATTTTTATTTTGAATCTGTTTTGAATGCTGCTCGTGATTTTAATAATTTTAGTAAGAAATTCCAGCTTTGTTAGATTTAACCTTGAATCACCGTCAAAGCTATCAATTGTATTATTATTAATGTTTATTTTGGTCCCATTTTAAGCGATAATGTTTAAAATAACAGACAATATTAACGGTAAATTATTATTGCAAACCAGCATGAACTTTGATCTTTGCCATTTTATCTCATGTAACCACTGGTCATGTACACATTTTTTTTTCATTTTTCCACAAATTACGTAATTGGATCAAATAACAAAACGGTAATGAAGCGCAAAATTGCGAGCAAGCGGCAAAAATCGGGCAACAATTATCAGCAATTAGCGTTTGCTTTCACGATTTCGCGCCCGGCAGGCGTCGAGCGAAGCAATTAGGCGCTGCGGCAACGATTATTTGTCCGATTGGAGAGCCGCTTCGTCATCAGCAGCGCTCCTGCTGAATTGATTAATTATGATCGTAATTGCGGCTGCAAAGTCCAATTATTTTTTAATCCACGCACGCTTTTGTTATCTAATTAAACGGCGGCGGCGGCAGCGGGCTTTGTGCGCGCAAACACGCAATCAATGCAAACGCAAGTCTCGCCGCTCCTCACATTGTTCCGCAGCACATCAAAGCTATTTATTTATCAATCCATCAAGCCGCGCGCACATACGGCTCATGATGAGCAGGTAATTTCAGCCAACCCCTCGCCCGCTAATTTATCTGCCCTCTGTGCGGGCACGCGGCGCACACAGAGGCGCGCGGCTGTAATTATTATCCACCTTATCGCCCACACCCGTGCATGGAAAATGAGGCTCAAGCTCCTCTGCCTCCGGATCACCATGACGTGATTCGGTTTTCAATGTGCACGATCCATTCACGGCGGAACAGAACGCTAAAACCACTATTGCGATAGACGACAAGAATTAGAACTAAATTCATAGTTTCCTTAATAGAAAAAGAAAATTTTTATTTATTTGATTTTACATGTTAACAGATAAAATTAATTAATTCTTAACTTATATGATTTTTACCATAAAACACGACGTCTTACTTCAAATAACCTTATAATAGATTTCAAAATTTATGAATCTCTTTGATTTATTATTATATTTGATTGATTGACTTATGAGGCGTCACCACGATGTAATGACTCATCGTGACTCGCCTTATTTGCAACAGTAGAAAACAAGAAATTCAGAAAAAAAAATATTGCAATTCATCTAAAAAAGTTGAAAAAACTCTTCTTTGTTTTACAATTTCAAAATATTGACATTTGCTTATGGGAATGAATTAAAAACGCTATAAAATTAAGTGGAATCAATCAAAATAAACCTATAATATACAGAAATTAAAGTATTAAAAGTATAATGTGGATCAATAAAATATAATTTAATTATATTTAAAACTGTCATATCAAAATTTCAAGAAAATTATATTGGATCAGAATAACAGCACATTTGAATTATTTTAAATTATACATGCAATATCACATGTTATGCCGTAAATTTGTGCAGAGGTGGCTTTTTCAACTAAATTCATAGCAAGGATACAATTCCTGAGATTTAATTAAATCGG